CACCTACTACGTCTCACGGATATGGAGTGCACAATGCTACTGCAACCAACTATTGGTACTCGTAGCAACCGTAGTTTACAACTCCAAAAGCTAATACAACATTTTACTGCATTGAATTTTTTTTCATGATTTACCCCATCACAGTCAACAGAAACAATAACAACAATGTATAACAAAGAGTTACAGGAACACTCACGAAGATTGTTGCACATGACGTTCGAAACCACCAAAGGATATGACAATATGAACGGTGTACCGCGAGATTATAGTAGGGGCAAATGTTAGTATCGCGGGAAATCCTTGTCCACTTCATCGGCCCAAGCTTCATACCCACCACGGATGTCACGTATTCGTAGAAAACGCAGTTTCTTCTTGAGAATTTCCACGGCCACTTGAGAGTCGTTCCCACGGTGACATATAACAAAAACTGTAACAAATCTATCATAAATTCTTCAAGTAGTCTTCTTCGAGAAAAGAAAAAGTTCTCCTTCCCACTTAAGTATGCATAAGGCTTGTTTGAGATCGGTCCTACTGCGATAGACCAACTTGAGAATCAAAGCTAGATAACTTAGCATTATTAGTTTATATTAGCTAACATAACTATCTCGATAGACATTTTAGTCATGAATAAATCTTAAAAATAAGCGTAAATTGTAGATAATTTCATGAAACAAAAATGAAATATTCAAACGTATTTTGAACAAGTGCACATTTATGTATTAGAACAATGAAACATTGGTATAAAAGTCAATTTTTTTACAACTGAATTTCCCTCCTTTCCTTACTGAAGAGCACAGAGGGAGAATGACCTCGTTCATTTTCCGTCTAAGGGAACGTGCGAAACGGAAATTGAACTACTTCTTGAACTCCTTGAACTTTTTGAATACTAATATGATACTCCGCCACAGCCTTCTGGAGGAGCGCCATCGAGAGATTCTGCCACGCGACCGTGATTGGTGCCTGAGTTCAGCGAGATGATTTCTCCGCCACTGTAGACCACCCTATTGAAGCTCCGCCCGAACCGGGTAATTGAGGGGTTTAGGTCAGGTGACACACTTAGATATTCCATCTTCTTCAGGTACTCAACGCCCTTCCATTCCAAGTAGGCGAGAGTTTTTCCAACGCCCTTCGATTTGGTGCACCCAATCCTGTAGCAGTACAAAGTTTCCAAGAAGGTACGGGCGACGACATGTGGGGAGGATATTCTTCTCGAGTTGCTCGATGTAACCGCCAGCGCTCACCTTCAGTCCGGGGCCCACGAAGAAAATATCGGTCTTTCCATTCCAGGTACGTCCGGTCCATACCATCAACCCGCGCCTTGGCGACTGCGGTGAAGATGATGTCCTAGACCGTAGCGACGTTGTCGGAGCTGCTCGATGTTGGAGGTCTTCCAGATCGAGAGTACTGGTCTCCAGGTAGCTATCCATGGGTGACTCCATACTAGAAGTTTCGCAGCTGTTTGGAGGTGACATGAATTCCAAAGGTCTTCTCCAGTCAGGCTGCGACTGGAGATGACTTCATATTTTGGTGTACATGAAGGTGATGGGCGAGAGCCAGCTCCTGCTTATCGAGGAACATCTTGGGTATCTTCCGCCCTGGTACTCGTATCCACGTCCTCTGTCTGGGCTGCGAAAACTTTGCTGATATGTGACTCGGTCGAAGTGACTTTTTTTGCCCCCCTCCCCTCCTGTATAACTTCTAGCCCTTACAAGGGAGGTCGTTCAGGGCGTGGTGAGCTTTTCAAAATGGTCTTGTGCATATTGTAGGGGCACATACGAGGACCAGAAAACTGAGGTTCATTTTCGCTGCGCGCTTCTACGAATAAAAAAAACGTAAAAAGGTCGATGGTTCGGATCCCACCGAGGACAAAATTTTGCTTTTCTACAATTTTTTTTCATTTTTTGGATCCATGTTTGTCTAAATACTTGGTCCTAACAAAAACATTCACGATAAACTGAACAATCCTACTTTTATGGAGCAAAACTGCTTTTTCGTTCGAATTCGTTAGTATTCACAGACTCAGCTCTTCGGCGCTATGCTGGTGCCAGATGGCACTGGCGCCAAAAATAATTCTAGAATCGTGATCAGGACTATCGATTACCCCTAGGAGCAAGTTTTGAAAAAAAATTTTGACTTTTTCGGGTTGTAGGTGACCGACCATTTGGTCGGCAGTGTGAGCGGAGTCTCACATCTTCGTAACAGCGATGACGCTACGGACCCCGGACAACCCAATAAGCAAACCCAAGAAGGTCAAAACAATTGTTTTGACTGAAAATTCGTTTTTAGTGGTAATCAGTGGCCCTGATCACAAATATAACACCTATTCTTGGCGTCCACGCAATTTGGCGACAGAATAGCGCTGAACGTTCCCTACATGGGTGTACATAACGAATTCAGTGGAAAGAAGATGTGGCCCCAAACTGTCTATAATTGACACCACACCAGAAGTTACTATATTCTTGGCGAGATCCACTGTCTAGTCTATGAAGATCAACGTTCAGCAACAATCTTGTTCAATGGTGCGTGAAAATCGAAATAGTTGAATAGCACTGACTCATGAGGTACAGCTACTCAGAATGTGCCCATAAATGGCAAATATCCGAGTTATATTCATGCGCAGACACAAAATGGAAGCGAGAACAGAGAGAGTTGAACCAAAACCAAACCCATCCTCACTCCTCGATTGGCAAATCTTCACGTTAATCCCTAAGCCATCGATCAGTGCCAGTTCAACAGCCTCTAATCATGAAGAAAACAATGCCAAGACTTCGTTAACCCTTGAGCACTGAACCAAGCTTGGGAAGCTCAATTTGGCGACATTTCGCTTTGATTCAAATACTCCCTTTTAGGACCCCCACTGAGTCTGCTGTCGAGAGTTGCAACGTGACCTAACGCGCGTAGTAGCCCAAAACGGAAGGATTTCGAAGAACTCTTTTCACTCTGTTTACCTTTCCTGGAAGCGCGCAGTGAAGCACACTTTCCAGGTCCTCGCATAAGCCCCTACAATATGCGAAAGACCGTTTTGAAAAGCGCACCACGCCCTGAAGGACCTCCCTTGTTAGAGAACCCCCTCAAACTTACAATCATACTATTAACTGATAAACTAGCCCGATAGATTATACTTGTCCAGGAATGAATCGCCTGCAGACTCGTCAATCCTAAACGCTTCGCGCAAATTGCAGCATTCAATGTGTCGACTATCCTCACATGTTACTCTGAAAATAAAAAAGTAAATTTTCGATAATTTCAAACCAAGCTTGAAATTTCATCAGCTTACCTTTTAGCATTCTTCAATATAGCATAGCGAATCGTGAGGATGTCGAGTATCGAGCAGATAAAGGAGAACTAACATGAATCGAATTGAGATAGATCGATGACCGCTAATCATCCTCTGTGCAAAATGATATGACTCTGCTACCTGTAAGTATGATTTAAGGAACCACTCCATTGCATTGGACTGGAAACAAAAAACAAAAATAAGCTGAAGTGAACGAAACAACTGGTAAGGGTATGAACGAGATCAGCCTTGAAAAGGCAATGGAAATCTTCGAATTCGATAGAGACTACTTCGAACTTAATCTGGTATCAATTGGAAGAGATTCTGCATAGCCAATTAAAGCAAAAAGAACTCTCGCCACACCTTAGACAAAAATAGTACAACAGTTTTCATTACTATCTCGGATCCTTAGATGTCTATCTTTGATGTATACACTAGAGCATGAGACTAGGCCAAAGGGACACTAGATGAATGTTCAGTTCAAGCAAACTGATTATAAAAAAATGAGGCCAAACAGAAGCTTTTGCCGAAAAATACACTCTTAACATAAGCAAGGAATATAAAAAGTTGCAGTTCATATGTTCCAAATGATATCACCATCCTGCACTTAATATCTTACTGAAATCCCCGTATCGTTACTTTCCTCGAAGTTTGGAAATGGGTATGCACGGTTAGAACAAATGTATTCCTCCTTTGAGTTGCCTAAGGTCGCGCTAAGACCTTCAACGGGTGAACTCGGAGTCTATTGCATCCACTCACGAAAAGCCTCGGATACGTTTCCACAGGGTGACCAAAATGTTCTGGCAAATTTTCGAAATACTTTGATAGTATAAAAATACCATTCAAATAAGTAAATCAGCAAATCTGAACGACTGGGAGTCTTCATCAAATCAGTAACAATGATAGTATACAACAAAGTCACAACATGTGTTCAAAATTGCCTCCTTCGGCCTCAATACATTTGCTCACTCACTTTCAGAAGTGTCCGACATTGGTTATTCTGGGTCACATTCTTCTACTGCAATTTCGTCCGAAGCACACAGCAACGCTTCGGACGAACTTCGGATTCCTGGGATTTTTTGGACGAGCGAGTTGAGAGGCCAAACATCCTTGTCCCAAATCCCGGAAACAGCTCTTCACAAACAGCACATGGATTTGGCAGAATGTTGGAGCCCAGCTTTGCTGAAGCACAAATCCATCCGAACCGAAGTGCTGCGACACCCATGGCTTCAGTACATCGCGAAGAACGCGTTGTTAGTGTTGACAGCATTGATCTTAACGCTGCGCTCGACAAAGCAAGAGGCGTCTTTCCAGTGGCACAGATCCCGCTACAGAGAGGGTGGAAAAAGTCTGCGTTTGACGGATTTTGCAGCCACTGTGATCTGCTCACTTTTCCTGAGGAGCTGAGACACTTTCTGTAGTTGCGGTCAAAAATTTTTTCGTCGGTGGAGAGCAGATTTTTCAAGCAAGCAGCACCGAAGAAGAAGGTGCATCTCAACAACTGTGACCTTTTGATTTTCCTCGAGACATTGTGAGGAGAAATCGAAAGTGATTGGATAGATGACTCATATACAGTAGATCGAAACTGCTCGCGGAATACAAATAAGAGAGAAAAAAGACTCAATGACCGCTCAAAAAAAAACGCGCAAACACGGTTTAAGATTATACGATAATCTGTTAGGGCGGGTTCAAGCACATCCATCTGTATCTGTTTTGGAAGGAGCGCCAGCTAGCTGGCTTATTGCGCGGTTTTCTTTTCTTTGGGGATATTTAGCTAACTCTTTTTGTGGATCAACTTCTCCAGCATCCAACATTGCAAGCGATACCTAACCTTAATCGCGTATCTCCGTAGTGGCAAGTATGAGCGCGGCCTGGAAGAATCGCCAAACAGAGAGAAATACATCAAACCTTATCACACGCTCCTGAACCACAAAAAGCCGCATAATCGATAAGTTCTGTGATCGTGGGATTATCACCACAAACATCACACTGCTTATTCCGCTGGCGTAGTTGAATCGTTCGAGATTTTCCGTAGCTTCCATCAAATAGATACAGTTTCGCAGCAAAATTGGCTAAAATGCAAATAATTAAAGTGAAAGTACGCTGGAAGCGCTATGCAAAAGCCTGA